GTCCCTCAAAAGAGAGGAAACAAGGTGTGTGCCAAAAACCGGAGCAAACAGAGGTAGTTAAGCGGTCTTGAATCGAGGCACACGGCCGACGGCTCCGAAAATTAGAAACTGGTCTCCAAACGGGAAAAATGGCCTACAACCACGAAACGTAGCCTACGACCACTGAGAGATGGTCTACGAGACCTCTCCCTCCCTTCGGAAAGAGAAAATAGAGAAAACAGGACCTGATTCGCAAACCGAGGCAAAGCATAAAAGAGTCCCGAAGTCCGGAGGCAAGGCTCGCAGCCGAGACTTTGAAATCTCAGAACGAGAACAATATGCATCGTCACTGAGCGCTCAATCGGTGACGTCTGAGTCTTAAGGTCGGTCAAAAATGGGGTGTCTACACTACTATTGTGATTAAATTTGACAGTAGAGTTCATTACATTTTTGTTGGGTGTTTAGGAAACAATAGGAAGTATATACATTTGTGATTGATGGAAAGTAATGACATGTGATACCCTATTGACATACACAAATTTCTCTAGAAGAAGAGACACGTAAAGGGTAGATAGACGATACCAATTTAAATGGCAGAGAAGGCTTCTGTTAATAATCCTTAGAAGGCTGTAACCTCTGCCCTGCCTATGTATTATTTTCCCTTGTTTAGAATGTCTGAAGGAGTAGCAAGAGAATTAGAAAAGAAGCAAGCTGCATTCTTTTGGGGTGGGTCTGAGATAAAAAAGGTCAGTTCATCTGGTTAAATGGGTTGAATTATCTAAGAGTGTAAAACAAGAAGGGCTAGGTATTAGAAGTATAAGGTTGGTTAATGACTGTATGCTGTTGAAGTGGTGGTGGTGGTTTGGCAAGGAGAAATATGCTTTATGGAGAAGAATCATTTGCAATATGTATAATATGGATTTCAATTGCTAGTACCCATCTCTTAGCTCAAGTAGTAGGCATTCTTGTGTGTGGAAAGGTATCATATCCATTGCTGAGAGGAACATCATTCTGCATGAGTTTTATTTTAATAACTTTCAGGTTAAGGTTGGGGATGGTCAAAGAATCAAATTTTGGAAGGACAAATGGTGCTCGAATCTCTTCTTGAAAGATGAGTTCCCTGCTCTTTATAGATTGGTTATGGAGAAGGTGGATTCTTTGAGGGTTTTGCGTGAGAGGAAGATGTATTTTGGGGATTGGGATTTTTAGTTTAGAAGAAGGTTGTGTAAGCTAGAAGAGACTGAAGTTACTAGGCTCTAGGATTTATTAGGATCTGGCCCTGTATTTAGAGATGATCTAAAGGATTGCTCATCTTGGGTAGCTACTACCTCTTTTGAGTTCTCTGTGTCAGCTACTTATAAATGTGTTGAAGATTCTCTTGGTCCCCCTCTCAATACTAGTGAGTTGGTGTGGATTAAAGCTGCTCCCCTAAAAGTCCAATTCTTTAGCTGGTTAGCTTGGAAAAACAGAGTTAAGACAGTGGATTCCTTGTACAAAATTGGTGTTATTCAAGCTAATGCTTCAACTCTTTGTGTGTTCTGTAAGTCTGAAAATGAATCAACGGGTTATGTTCTGTTACATTGTCATTTTTCTTGGAAAGTTTATGTTGGAGTTATGGTTTTTATATGCTTGTTTTGGGCCAACTTTAAGCTCAAAATTGAGTGGGTCCCACACATCTTTTGGGGTTGGTTCAAGAGGTGACGTGTTCCTTGCCGCATGACAAGTCACACAGTATAAACAATTCGTCAAAACCATTTATGAGTGAATGAGAACTTGATATCATTTTCGGGTTCATGGAAAGGGAAGTTGAAAAGGTGAATGTGGGTTTCCTTTATATGGTTGTCCCGCATTGGAAACTTAATAGAATTTATGTGTGTATAAAAGTTCTAGGTGGCAATGCTTGGGTTGGGCCCCAAGTTTGTAGAAGAGATGAGTTATGAACAAAGTGGGCCTTGACTCAAACCACCATACACGCGCGCGCCGCCGCCCGTCCGTTCGTCCGTCCGACTGGGCCCAGTTATGGGTCGGGTTGGTCCTTATATTAATTTTTTCTAAGAATTCAAAATTAATTCAAATTCTCTGTCCAACATTGTGCATCTTCCAATCCGAAATTCCCAACAGATTTAAACTGCCCAGCAGTTCCGGACAGTTTTATTTCTTCCCAGATAGATTCAAATCTGTTTCTACACCTATTCGGTTTGAAATTCATACCTGTTTGGCCCTATAAATACAAACCATCTTCCAACATTTTGATGATTCCGAAAATCTTTTGTCTTACATTCCTTTGTGCTCTCTTGCATATATATTCTACATATTATTTTAGAAAATTTTTGAGAGTATAGAACACAGGTTTTGTTCACTGTGCAAATTGTTTGGAGTGTTACTACAATCTGTGTAAAGATTATTGTATCTTGGGAGATAGAAGCCATTTATCCGTAAACACCGAAGCATGACGAATCTGTCTTAAGGATAGAGTGTCACACATTCGACTTGATATATTTTTATGCTTTTTCATTTCGATAAATAAATTCTATAAGTAATTTATTTTTATTTGTTTGATTTGGTTCCAAGTTATTTGTTTCACATAGAAGATTGTTGCAACAGTTTGGGCTGTAATGCTAAATTGGTGGGAGGTGCAAAGGGCCTTACTGGGTATTGTAGAAGGTGTACTACTATGGTGGAATGGAGAACGGCTTAACAAGAAAGAAAAGCAGTTATGGAGTGTAATACCTTTGGCTGTCTCACGGTCTATTTGGAAGATTAGAAATGAGTGTGTGTTTCATCCAACTATTCCTAAAGCTGATGATTTGTGTGACTTGATTAAGATTAGAGTTGCTCTGTGGTTGAAATCAAGCTTTAAGGAGTTTTTCTTCTCAGTGCAAGATTTCCTGATCAACCTAAGACAGATCAAATGTTGCTTGGGGAGTAGAGGGACCTGTGGATGACTTTATGTTTTTATGGCTAGTTTTTTCTCCTCCGTTTGTTTTTTGTTGGTTTTTGTTTTTGTTGGCCTCTGTTTTGGCTTGGTTTCTTGGGTTGGTGTCTTAGTCTCACTAACTAATAGTGGTGCTAGCAGATGATTGTACAAGATTCTCGATGCCAACCTAGTTGGAATCGGATTGTTTTGCTATAATGTTTTTTGCGCCGTCCCCTTTTATTGATGTTTGTAATTGCTCTTTTATTTCATTATCATTAATAAAGTGCTTCTTTTGACTGTTTGGCTAGTTTTTTCTCCTCAGTTTGTTTTTTGTTTTTGTTGGCCTCTGTTTTGGCTTGGTTTCTTGGGTTGGTGTCTTAGTCTCACTAACTTGGTGCTAGCAGATGATTGTACAAGATTTTCGATGCTAACCTAGTTGGAATCAGATTGTTTTGTTATAATGCTTTTTGCGCCATCCCCTTTTATTGATGTTTGTAATTGCTCTTTTAATTCATTGTCATCAATAAAGTGCTTCTTTTGACTGTTTCAAAAAAAAAAAAAAAAAAAAAAAAATCTAATTAAGTTTAGTACTTGTTGAATGTATTATTTATGTGAAAAAAATTAAATTAATTGAATATCAATAATTACATATTTAAATTATATATATATTTTAAAAATAAATATTTCATTTTTAATTGGAAAAGAAGAATTTGGTCGTTTGGTTAGGGTTGACTTTTTTTTGACCTTCAGTTTTTTAAAAATTATATTTTTTAATTTTTAGATTATGAATTTAAATAGTGATTTAAAAATAAAAAAGAAAAATGTAGGTGAAATATAAATAAAATGTAATTAAGTTTCACTTTCTTTCTTTCTTCCTTTCTTTCTTTTTTTCCCCCTAAATTTCTACTCAAATTTATTACTGAAACACAACCTTAAAGAATCATGTCACAAGTAACAAAAATGCTAGAGGTCCCAAAAATTCTACCAAAAGTTTTACCAAATGTCTCACATGGTGTGGGACCCACATGGGACCCACATTCTGTGGGTTCCACACCCATATGAAACATTTGGTAAAACTTTTGATAGAATATTTGAGGTCTCTAGCATTACAAGTAATACATTCACTTGACCGGCTGCTACAAACAATAAAATAAAATAAAATAGTCGGTGAACGGTTCCTATAATAACAATAATATTCATTCACTATAAATAATACAAACTAATGCATTCGGTTTTGAATGGCACAATAAAATATAAGATAAAATATTCTTATCTCCTTAAAGTTTTCTAAATTCTAATTTTATTAATTTTGTTCTTGAGTTATTTGTTTGAGTCAAAATGTAAGAATTTCAAAAGACAATCTAAATAATTAACAAAATAAATGAACACATCTATTAATTTTATCGATTTCACTCCAAAACTTTTTAATTTGAGTAAATGATGAAATCCCAAAATAGCAGTCTAAATCAGTAATCGATACACTTAAGTAAAATGTGCGTTTTATGAGTGAAATTCGTTAATTTGCTCTAGATTTCTTCTCTTCCATAATAATAATAATAAAGAACAAATTAATAGAAGAATAAAAAATTATTAGACAAAGCAACATATAAAATAAACCTTGTAATTACTTGTATATTGGATCATAGCAGTTGGCGTGTTTTGACTATCAACTTCAATGGTTTTATTATTTTAAAACCTTGTAATTACTTGTATATTGGATCATAGCATTTGGCGTGTTTTGACTGCCAATTTCAATGGTTTTATTATTTTAATTAGTGTCTAACAACCATAAAATACAACAAAATTTGAAATATTCTAGGGACTAATTTTATGTATTGTGGACCTTATTAATGCAAGAATATTTCGCGTGTTTTGATTGTCAACTTCAATGGTTTCATTATTTTAATTAGTGTCTAACAACCATAAAATACAACAAAATTTGAAATATTCTAGGGACTAATTTTTTGTATTGTGTGGACCTTCTGAATGCAACTACATAATGTTTTTATTGGTATATCCTTCGTACAAGTTGTCGAAATATATATATATATATATATTTTTCCCTTCTATAAATTAACATGGATTTTCATGTTTTATTGTCATTCAAAAAGAGTGATTATTTGATTCGATTTCGCTATAATTCAAACTAATGTTTCCCTTGCTTGTAGGCTGTATACCCACTTGCTTTTAGGCTATATTCCCACTTGCTTTTAGGCTTTGCCACATCATCCACAACTCTATATATAATTCTTCTTTGGTTTTCAGTTTCCTCACACTTGTTGACCCTGGGCTAATCTAACTTTTTCATTATTTCATCTCATACAAAAACATTTTCGCTGTTTTCTTTTTCTTTTTCTTTTTTCCTTTGTTTTCTTTCTTCATTCATGGCTTATGAGCTTAGGATATGGTTTGCGGTGTCAATAATATCATTGGCGTTGCAATCATTGGTTCATGGTAAACCACAAGTACCTTGTTACTTCATATTTGGAGATTCATTGGTTGATAATGGCAACAATAATGCCCTTCAAACTATTGCAAAAGTAAATTACCTACCTTATGGTATTGATTTCCCTGAAGGGCCAACTGGAAGATTTTGCAATGGTCGAAATTTGGCAGACATAATCGGTTTCTCTCTCTCTCTCTCTCTCTCTCTATATATATATATATATATAATATCAAAATTCTGAAGGGCCTACTACACATAATCTATACTTATTACATCCAAAATTTTGAAACTTATTCACTGCGATTATTGCTGGTAATGTATTGTTCATAGCATACTTGTAATGGGTAATCACTATCAAAATAATTGTTGATTTTATCCAACTTCGCCCAACATCAATTTTGCATGCATATTTTTCTAGACATTACCTCTGTTTTCAAAATCTACATAAAACACAATGGAGTCGTTTAATTTCTATTAGACATCAAATACCAGCAGGATAATTGTTTTTATTTTTTTATTTTTGTTTGGACATTGTACTGCAAGTTTCCTTTGTTAGCTTTCATATGTTCAAGTTGGTAAATCATGGTTTTCATGCTTATTGGCCACAATTATCAAGCTCAATTTAAGTACAATTTTCAGGTCAACTGCTAGGTTTTGACAAGTTTATACAACCCTTTGCAACTGCTAGAGGTTCGGACATCCTCATGGGAGTAAATTATGGATCTGGAGGAGCTGGAATTCGTGATGAAACCGGGCAACAACTGGTAATCATCTATGTAGATATGTGCTTGTGATGGTGTGCATGTGCATGTGTGTGTGTGCATATTGTTTCTTAAATACCCCATTGTGGAGGCCAAACGTAGAGAAAATGAGACTTGTGTTATGTATGGTTAAAGAAAGAAAACAACAATATACCTTTGATTAATTTTTTGCAACACAAGTCTTCAAAATTTTCATTGATGAATTGTTAGGGCTTGTTTGCTTTGTATCTCAAGACATAATTTCTAAAAAAAAAATTCAAAATTTTGTTTGGTTCAAATTTTTTGATAAAAATTTTCAATATCACTTTCTCTCTCCTACCTATCAATCAATCACTTTTTTTTCTCTCCTCTTTCGTTTTCAATCGTTTTTTTTCTCACATACATCTACTTAATTACAACAAAATATCAAATCATTCCAAACTCTCAAACTCCAAAACTTTTTTCAAAATATTCAACCAAATAAACCAAAAAAATTTCTAAACTCTCTCCCCTTTTTTTTTTTGAAAATTTCTCTCAAAATACAAATTAAACACACCCTAAATTTAGTGTTTGGTTGGAGAGAAAGTCTGACCCTAGGTAAATAAAAAAAAAATTGCAAAATTGTGTTTCTGTAACCACTCCCATAAGATAGCGTAAATAGACATAACATGAAGACAATTCTTTGTTTTTACTTATTTTTTCTTCTTCTACAGACAAATCATATTTGAGGTAGCTACAATTGCAAGTTTAAAATGCATATTAACTTTTCTATAATTAAACAATAACTCATCATTGCAAATTACTATTTTAAACAAGTTGTCAACATATGCTCAAGGTTAAACATTCCATAGAATCTAGTACAGTTAATATTAAACTTTTCATATTTTTTACCAGGGTGCTCGGATCAGCATGAATAAGCAGCTACAAAATTATCGAACGACCATATCACACATTGCCACCTTACTAGGAAGCAAAAAAGCAGCTGCAAAATATCTAAACAAGTGTTTGTTTTCAGTAGGAATGGGCAGTAATGATTATATTAATAACTACTTATTACCACAGATTTACCCTTCAAGCAGCCTATATACCCCCGACCAGTATGCCACAGTACTAATTCAACAATACTCTCAGCAGCTAAGGGTTTGTATTACAATTTCTACATTATTCATTTTCTTTTTTTATTACAAATTTTAAAGATTTTTTTTTTTTTCTTTTCATTAAAATGGCTGTATATTTGGTGGTGTCCCCCCCCCAACTTTTCTTTCTTGTCTACGATAGACACTGTACAAATATGGAGCAAGGAAGGTAGCCATCTTCGGACTTGGTTTAATAGGGTGCACTCCTGGTGAAATAGGTAGTCATGGAACAAATGGATCTGCATGTGTGGACATGATCAACAATGATGTTAAACTGTTCAATGACCAGTTTAAGTGTCTTGTTGATGACCTAAATAAAGATCTCCCTGATGCACAATTTATCTTCATAAATGTTACTCAAATTTCATCAGGAGATCCATCTGTTATTGGTACGTTACTTCAATCTTCTACTTAAATTTGTATTGCATCTGTTACTATCCATGTTGTAAATCTTCTATAGAATGCAATTAAGTAGAATACTTGGATCATTTATTTGTATCAGGTATTACAGTTACAAATGCTCCATGTTGCACTGTATCGCCAACCACGGGACTATGTGTGGCTAATCAAGTTCCATGCAATAATAGGAGCACGTTTGAATTCTGGGATGCATTTCATCCAACAGAGATTGCTAATGTGTTAGTTGGATCAAGAGCATACAATGCTCAGACTCCATTAGATGCTTATCCATTTGATATTCGTCGACTGGCTCAGCTCTAATAACAATTTTTTTTTTAATTTTTTTTATTTCTATTTTTTTTGTGTTTCTTGTTTCTTGTTTTTTGTTTGTTGTTTGTTGTTTTTGCTTTTGTTTTTGTTTTCAATCAATAGTAGAAGAATAAGGGAGCGAGGTTGAAATAGTACAATAATCATATTCCCAGGCTTATTAAAATTCAGTTGCCGTTAATTATCTCCAATAAGGTATGCTTCAGTAGTATTAATACTTAAAGTTTTCTTATGTGAATGTCACACTGTTGTCTCATTTATTTCAATAAAAATTGTTGTCTCAGTTCAATAAGATGACTGCATGGAATTATGATAAGAAGAATTTTAATTAAATTCCTTCTTATCTTTTAATGTAATGGCATGTAGATTTTTTTTTAAGCTGTAGCATTAAGGTTAGCCGCCGATAAAGCCATGTTCAAAGTTAGGGTCTTGGGGACACAATACACACTTCTAGACAATTACGGATCACATTTTTTTTATCAGTGTTACATTTAAGGTTCTGTTGATTTCATATTTGGTAGATTTCGATCGCTCTATCAGGTATTATTCAAATTCTCACTCCTCGTATATGATAATCATATGTCCAATATGTTTCTTGTTAATGATTTCTAGAATTGGATTCCTTGAACTAGGAATGTGTTCTTCACTCAGCAACTAAGATTTTATTTTAATAAAAAATAAAATTAAATTCAAATGTTTTTGGCCCAAAAAGATTAGAAGCCCAACCCAACCACGCACCCGCCCGACCGACCGGACGGACAGTGGCGCGCGCGCGTGTGTGGTGATTTTTGGGTCCAATGGGTCTAGCCCATTTTGCCCATAACCTCTCCCTCTAAAACACTTGGGTACCCTTTGGGGCACACCCCAAGTATCTAACCCAAGCCTTATAAACCCTTTCAAAACTTCCCACCAAATCAATGTGGGACAAGCCAATTTACAACCTTAAGGAATTTCCACCAAAACTCCATTTCCATGGAGCACACTTTGGCTTCAATTTCCCATTCACTCGGTAATGGTTTTGAGCAACCAAATATACCACGTGAATCACAACGCGGCATAGAACGCGTTACCACTTTGACCCGAGTAAATCGACACTCGGGGCCCACCTAAAAAATAGACCGAACTTAGGAAAAAATTCTGGTTTTATCCAGAATTTTATAACCATTCCAACACTATGTCGTAAAAGTAAGAATGCAAAATATTGGGAAGTTAATTGTAAACTAATGATTCTATTGGGTAACATTTACATCATGGAAATATTAACTTTTTTAATGAAAATTAAATAAATCAAATAATTAACACAAATATATACTTTTAAAAGTGAGAAAGAGAAACTCCAAATATATTCATGCCGAAAAGTAAGTTATACATGCTAATGGTTTTCCTTGATTCTTATCAATAAAACTTATTTTACTGATAAAAAAAGACATACATACAATATTCGAACCTCTCTTGTTGAGAAAAATTTCCCATTTGTATTTTGACAATTAATTGAAATACGCTTCAAATTGGTGTGACTTTTAGTTATCCCTCTTTGAAGGTGTGATTGTATCAACAACGAGGTGAGTCTTCCCTAAATCTTGTTTTGATGGAACAAAAACTGTGGGACTAACAATTCTTTAAATGGGAACAAAAGCTGTTGGACTAACAATTCTTTAAATGGGAACAAAAGCTGTTGGACTAACAATTCTTTAAATGGGATAGCATTGCAAGGAGAGCATCCAACAAGGAGGATGGATACCTGTGGTTAAGCAAAGAGGAAGACAAGATGTCATGACCCCAACCCACCCTTAGAGGTTAGTGACATTACCGGCCAGTAATTATAGATTACCTACGGCCTCTTAATCAAAATACAAAATAGTTAATAATTATGAGACTTGAAGCAGAAGCATACAAAAGAAAAGACTAAGTCCATTGAGCAGTGTTTTACATGAAAACAAAAGTTTGATAACATTTCATAACATCAACTTACTTATAATATTGCATCCAGGACAATTTCAACCTTTAATAGTTACATGTACATATCTTACAAAAAGCTTAACATAACGAAGGCAAAACAAAAACAAAAGCCTCAACACGGAGGCACTTTATTAGAGGCTTCACAAAAAGGTGGACTCCCAAGCAAACTCTCTAAGGTTGATCATCTGGATGCTCACCTATATACGTATAGGGAAAGGGGGTGAACTCAAAGCCTAATGAGTAATACCAACGTAAAGGAGTTAATGAAATTTTCAAATTTATGATAGCATTGTTATCACATTTCAAAGATAATACATATATAGGTTTCAACAAACCTTTTTTTTTTTTATCGGCAAAAAAGAACTTTATTGATGGAATAAACAAGAACACAATACAAAGCAAATTATATCAATAAAGAAGGGGAGAGTGCAAAAGTATCACAATGAACTAAATCATCCCAACTAAGTTGGCACGAAAAAGCCCATCCTATCATTCAGCAAACCTTTTATAATTAAACTAACTATGTGATATATTCGATAGCTATAAACAAAATAAAGCTTGGCAGAACTACCTTTGGTCCATTTCAGGGCAGAATGAGTTCTCAATACTTTGGTCTGCAAAGAAAAATACTATGGGTATGCTTAGTTTGCATTTGGGAGATGAGTTTTAGAAAAAAATTTCTAAAAAATTGTTTGGTTTGAGTTTTTCTCAAAAAATTTTCAAAATCAATTTCTCTCTCTTACACATCAATCTATCACTTTTTCTCTCTTCTCTCTCCTCTCTCCTTCTCAATCACTTTTTCTCTCACACACATCTACTCAAATTCTCCCAAAATATCAAATCATCCCAAACTTCCAAAAAAACAACTCTCCCAAAATATATAACCAAACAAACCAAAAAAATTTCTAAACTCTCTCCCTAAATTTTTTTTCAAACATAACTCTCCCAAAAACAAACCAAACAAGCCCTATATATCTCAAATGTTGGCTCGAGTGATAACATGACTGCTCCAATGGTCTGCAAAATTTCACGACTTTGAATTTTGCTGAAATGGCTTCCAAACATATTTTCAAAACTTGGAATCATGCATGGCTTGGTCAAAAATATGAAAACACTTCAGAAAACATAAATACATGATCATTGATAAACAATTTTCTCAAAACCCTTTTAAATTCATCAAAATCAAAGGTAAAAAATTTATGCATGTAAACATTTTCAAACTCTTCATCTCTGTTCTTCAAAACATGAAATAGAGAGTACAAATTCATTGAAATTTCAAAAAAAAACTATGCAAAAGGTGGGCGCTCATGCATGCAAGAACTTAAAAACTCAAATAAAAAAAGATGAAATATCACATAATCTTCCATGAATCATGATTCTAGCTCAATTCATCAAGTTCTTGCCAATTCCTTCCAAATTAAATGTATATGATTCTAATTACTTCATGAATTCAATTATTAGGAGAGTTAATTACAAGAATTTGGTTTGAGTCTCTTCATTAATTACAAGATTAAAATATTGACTTTCTTCATCAATTCCTCGTCTTCCCTTCAATTCCTTCAAGAACGCGAGCCATCCCTCTCCCTCTCTCTAAGTTTTCTCTCTAGCACAAAAATATAACACACACATCCCTCTTGACCCATTAGCCATAGTTTCACACAAACACACACTCTTAAAGGTTCTAGATGAGTCTACAACTTAAACCATGAATGCATTAACTAAAACACTAATTATGTGTTTACTTAATTAAATATCACTTAGTCTTGATTAATTATGGTCACCACATAACTTAATTAGTTTAGTTAATCTCAATTAAGGCTTAATTTAATCTTAATTTTACTAATCTGAATCTAATTTGTAATTAATCTCCCATAACGCTCTAGACATTAAATTAAACTGATTAGGCTTGTCACTTATATTTTTCTTAAATCATCTTGGTTCTAAATTTTTGATTTGGAATAAAATACCTTAACAAAATTTACTACACACATAACACACATAAATCAAACACATATGATATGCAATCAAAATTCAGAACTTATATAATTAAATAAATGCAAAATGAAATGCATGCTATGGTTATCACACAAGGTTCATGGAGGAAAGGGGAAGAGAGAGACTATTCACTGTGTTTGTAGACAACATACCAAACATGATGGATCTTAAGAAGCTGTTCAACCTGTTTACAAACTTTGGTAAGTGAAAGATGTATTCATCCCACAAAAGAGGAGAAGAATGACAAACACAAGATTTGGGTTTGTTAGATTTGACTGCCCTATGAGAGCAAATGTAGCTATACAAAAAGTGAATGACTTATGGATGGAAGATAAAGCTCTAGTAGTTAAAAATGCAGAGTGCAGAAAGGGGCAAGGATATAAGACGAATCGACCACAACCTTAGATAAGAAGACAATTTGTACCTGCTAATGAAGGAAAGCATGGTAGAAGTCGACCTACACAAAAGAGGTCATTTGCTGAGGTAACAAAAGAGGATAACATAGAGAGGAAAGAAAGTATTTCCATAAAGGCTGATGAAATAGGTAATGGATGGTTATATAACAGTGTGATCATTCGACCTAACGTTAAGTACATTAACATTGATTTGGAGGAAAAGTTGAAAGCAAGAGAGATGGAGGATATCATAATTAGAAAAGGAGAAGGACATCAAGTAGTAGTATCATTCCAGTAAAAGAAGGAGAAGATTTCTAAAATGAAACTAATAAAGAAATGGATTATGGATTGTGTAGACATCCTATTTTTGACCGATCTCAAGACTTAGACGTCATCGCTTGTACGCTCGATGATTACAATTTTATTTGTTTGCTTTGACTACCCAAAGTCCTCGGTGGGACACCCTGTCTTTGAGCCTTTAAAGTTTGTCAATTTTGTGCTTTGTTTTGGACCAAAACCTTGTCGTTTCAAGCCTGAAACTTGTGGTGACTTGTCGGCCACCACCTTGGGTTTTCGGCCATGGCTCATGGTTATCGGCCATTGGTGTGGCCGGTCGACTACCAGTGGTGGGCGACGACCACCAGTGTCTTTTTCCAGATATTTGTTGACAGATGTGACAGCTGTTAGCACACTGAGTTGCATCTCCCTACACATGTATGGTAGGATGTTCCTAAGCTCAATGGTTGTTTTTCTATATATAGGGGGGTTCCTCCCCCATTTTTGAAAGTTAGCAATTTTGGAACAAAATTCTCTCTCTTTCTCTCTCTCTCTCTCTCTCTCTTTACATTTCTTCCTCTCTCTAGCAATTTTGTGCATAGTTGCTTGGATACACTCCACTTTTGTCTATCAATCCTTAACAAGCGTTTCTAGTATTTGGGCT